ACTCGAGTATATACGGTAAGCTTTTTTTTCTAGAATAGAAAATGTGATAGCTTTTCTTAGCAGTATTTACTTCAAACATGCGATCTCTCCAGATAAGCATGGTATTTTTCAGAAATCTATTGTTACTTTTTCTTAAAATCTGAATGTACAGGCTGAATTTACACATCTATGGTTTACTGTGAAAATCTCATCATGACTTTGCTTCATTGTCTTTTTAAAGGATTTTTATATGAACTAGGGTCCCTGCATTGCAAAAAGAAATTATTTATCTCAAAATCATAGCTGCCAACTTTTTAAAAGAACAAGGAGGGTATTTTGTACATATGATATATGAATGTACTAAATCATGTAGAGGTTGACAAGTTCCTTTTATATGAGTTGCACATGGGTGACTATGATTTTTTTAAAGAAACAAATAGTATTTGTCTCATAAAAAAGAGCTTTACTTTCTACCACAGCTTTATTTTGAAAATAAAATGAAAAAGCGTAAGTCATCAGTTAATCCTCGTGGCTGACATTTTGCTTTCTTACCTTATAGTCTCTCTTCTTCACTAAATTAGGTAAGAATTTATTATTGAAATCAAAGTGGCTATAGACATCTCTGGCAGCATCTGGTCCCTGTGACACCATTGCTGATAATAAAGTTAGACACAGACGAGACAGTCTGTAAAGAGAACAGAGAACAATGTTTAAGCAACGAATAGGCAAACAAACTAATGAATGAAAAATTAAAAAGTGAGAACACCTTTGAAATGAAGGTGTTTGTTCATTTTAGTTAGCTAAGGGAGCAGATGCCTAGTATCACACAGTCAATCTAAACACAAGTACTTTAGCCAGACACAGAAAATTTCAAGGGAACTTAATTACAGCAAGCTGGATTTCCTGTTACTTTACATGTATAAATGTAGATATATGCTAACTACAAAAGCAATAAAAAGTATTGCCCTATACAGAGTTCATACAGTATATAATGGAAACACATTAGCCAGTTATCTGTCCAGATTAAATAGTAACAGCATTGCTGAAGTTAATATTCATTTACTAGGTAAATGAACTTGTATATTTATCTTCTAGATTTAAAATATGCCCCAAATATTTTAACAAGAAAGGGAGGGATGCATGCATTCACGCATCGATATGCGTGAAATAAAGATATCTTGATTATTACTAAAGCTTTCATAGTATATCAAAACAGATTTCATAAAAGCTTTTTAGGACTGAAGTTAGAAAAAGCTTAGCGCCACAATTCAATAACCCTATCGATTTTTTAAAATTTTATTTCATGAATATAGTGCTGCTTCACAAATGTGTGTGGGTTTGTCTCTGTCTGTCTGTCAATCAGTCGGAGGGAGGGAAGGAGGAAGGGGGATTGTAAGAAAGTAAGTAAAGGCTTATGAATAAACACTGTAGTCTAAATATTTTTTATGGATATAATTCACTAAATTCTGATTTCAAATCAGACCCTGCCATATGAAAACGACAAGGCAGAACACAGCAGATTTTTGGAGAAACACCATTTTCAGTTTTATAAATGCTGCACCATCTAAGTTTTATAATTTCAGAAAAAATAATTTGAGACTAGATGAACATTGGAAATACAAAGCTATTTATTTAAACTTATTCTTTAATCTAGATTTTTTTTAAATTATGGAAAATAAAACAATATTCAATGAACCACAAAGCAAAATAAAGAAGTTTACATACAAATAAAAAGTTCTTAAAGTGACAGAGACGGGAGTTAAAATTGATTAGTCTAATCTCCAGTTTCAACACAGAATTACAATGTAGAATGTAACCACAACTTTTCTGTAAGATAGTTTTAAATCAGTATTAAAGAGTGCTTTGTTATTCCTCGTGACAGAGCCTAAACACAGTACTGAGCAATGAAAATTTTGTTTTACTGTGGTTCTAAACAAAGGTTTATTTTAAACAAGGAACTTACCTATGAGTTTCAGAATACAAGGCAGCATAAATTAATTTCATGTAACTATTAATCAACTTCTTTACTATATTCATCCCCACGACATGAAAATGGGACAGATCACTTGCTGTTCGCAGCAAAATATTTTCTAGAGCTTGAAAAATTAGCAGCATCTGCAAAATTTCAAACATTCCAACATACTGTCTTTTAAAGATACAAATGCAACTGAGCATTCTAAACAAAGTGTATTCCAACAGGAAAGGAAACTTTGCAATGTTCTTGAAAAAACCCTCTGCTGCTAAATGTAATTATACTCGGACAAGGCTTTGGATTGCAACATGATCCTAATGAAAATTTCCACAGCTTTAGGTACTAGTTACTATGGTGTTTTTCTTTAAAAGGCATATGGAAACCTTATGGCCTACGAAACACATCTGCCTATTTTGTTTAATTCTATCAACTCTTCAAATATCTTATTAATTAGGAATACTGGAAAGTCTCAACTTGAAGTGAACTTGAGGACAGACTGATGAACTACCAACCTAATCCTCATTTTCAAAGGGAATCCTCCTACTGGAAAGAAATATGGAATTGGTTTATCCAGTCAATGGATATTCTTGCACCACTCCAACTTCAGATCAAGCTGTTTACTATCCTTTAAATACTTGATGGCGAACCTATGGCACGCCTGCTGGAAGTGGCATGCTGAGCCATCTCTGCCAGCACGCAAGTCATCACCCCAGCTCAGTTCCTGCTCATGCGCCTCCCGCCAGCCAGCTGATTGTCAGCTATCTGCCGCGCATGTGCAGGGGGGGAAGGAGGGACGCGGGAGATCATGCATGCATGTGCAGGGGTGCGGGACCGCAGGGATCACACGTGCAGGGGCATAGGGGACCATGGGGGTCACGCACGCATGCACAGAGGCACGGAGGGGTCGTGTGTGCATTGCATTATGGGTGCAGGCTCACGTGTACGCACACAAGTGAGCACTTTTTGGCACGCAACAATGAAAAGGTTAGCCATCACTGGGCTAGATCAATGATCCAGTAGAAAAAAAGTTTTGTGTCCATGGTCTAGAACATAAAGGATAGTCGTATCTTTTATAATTATGTTACAAAAAGAATGTTGCTGGCAGGTTTAGCATAGTACAAATAAATTATTAAAATCTTTCCACTGATGGGACAAGTGCTCATCCTTACCAATTTCTTTGCCAGAACTCTGCTACCTCATTTAGAACACAGATTTATATTTAGTCAGTACCTAGGTCCAGTCCAGTACCCATCTCTAAGCCCAAAGGTATACTGCCATTTGCAACACTTTATTGCAGGGAGAGCAATATAGGGACAAGCCTAACCAATGTGACCAATGGGAATTACAGTCCAACAAGACCTGGATGCATTGCCCATCTCTGAATTAAAATATCTCTGCATGAGCATCCCAGCGCTGTAGGAAACAGCTAGGAAGTTATTATTATTCAAAAAAAAGAAAAATACTTTCAAAACATTACGTGCGATTTTTACAAAAGGTTTGCAGAAATAAGATTCACTAAGGGTTAACTCCCTAGCAAGGGTAGGAGTGCAAAGATACTTTTAAATGGGTGAAATAATCACAGGACATACAGCAGAATTCAGAGTTCATTCTTAATAGCACAAAATCAATATCTAAGAGGAGCCTGTGACAGTTCTCATCAATTGAAACACTGACCTCGCTGTCAGGACGCCTTTCACCATCCAGAAGTTTAAACATTTCTACACATTCAATAGAAACTTTTATGTATTCTTCCACTACATCATATTGCTCATTTGACGGTAGTAATTTAGCTTTGGCTATGAAGGTTTCCAAACCTGTAATAAAACATACTTTGATTTTTGTTTCAAATCATTACGGACATGTTATTCTTTACTTCAACTAACTATAATTGGCATGCCCAATAGGTAAATCAATCTTATTCAAATAGCAGTTTGCATTTCAGGCTCCTGAAATCAACAGCCTCATTTTTCCATAGCAGAGCTGGAAAGTCAACTTTGATTTCTTTCTTTATTGCTATCAATATTTTACCAATACAACCTTTGGGAAATAAGTTTTGGGGGGGGCTCAAATGCAGAGGTTGACAAAATAAACGTAATAATAGGAGCAAGAGAGAAGAAAATGGCAATTTGTGTTGGCGTGATACCAATGATGTCAGCTTGAAAATCTATTACAACTATACTGTATCTATTGAAGACTTTCACTCCCGCCCCATCACCCCCCCACACACACACACACGCTCCCTTTTATAATTCATTTTATCAATTGTAACTCGAAATAACAGCTGTCTATACGAAGAATTCACAATCCTTTTGCTCAGGACCCAAGGACACAGAATCATTTTTAAGCTCATCTCTCACTTCTGGACACCACGTTGTTGTCCGTGACACATTTATTACAGACAACTTAATCTGCATTAAAATATTCAGCTATTAGCCATATGCAGCTGTGGCAACCGCACAGCTCTTCGCCGCAGAGAGATCAACTCGACTGAATCCACGTGGTGACCGTGGGAGCGGCGTGGCTGGCTGGCTGACCTTTCATCGCAGTGCTGGAGTCGCGGAGGAGGAATTTGAACCGGGCGCCGGTGAATTCCGCGGTACCGGTGCTGCGAACCCGCTTAGCCGGGGGCGGGTCCTGCCCCCCGGCCGAAGCCGAGTTTTTGCGTTTGGTGCCCATATCCTGAAGCAATCGCGGTTCGCCGCGACACCCGGCGGAGCGAAGGGAAGTCGGGGTAGCCTTCGCTTGGGTTACCCGCCTCGGCCGGAAATGGTCCGGCTTGCTTATGCTCCCCCCATTCGCGAAATTACAATTGAGACAGGTTCCTAGCTTGACTAAAGCAGCCGCTCAGTCTGAGCTTTGTAGGGCAGTGGCGCAAGCCAGGGTCATCTCGTTGCCCAAAAGAGCAAAAAATGACGTAATCTATTGCAGTTTCAATGTATAAGATTAAATGTTCGCAAGCTGAATTTTTTTTTCTACTTCTGCGCCCATTAAGTGAAACCTGTATGTCTAAGGGGAAAAAACTACTTTTAGTTCCGTTGGATTTTTCAATGAACAAGCAAGAAAAATAAATGCTTGCTGTTAGTTACAAGGGATCAAATATCTTGATTTAAAATAGTATTTTTCAATGGTTAAGGATAGCTGGTTGGGAATTCTGGGAATTAGTCCAACATCAACACATCATGTTAAAAGTTCAAGGAAGCTGGAAAAAACGCTGGTCTAAAGTATAATCAAGTACAGACGAATTTAGACCTCAGAGTTATCTATTGTAATGGCTATGTGAAAGCCTGAAAATTAATTAAGTTCCAGATACTTATTCAATTATATTGAAGTAACTATATACTATGTAATAGTAGACATTCGCATATCAATAATGTTTCAGGTGATGTGCCTTTTAAGATCAAGCTAAGTGATGTGCCTTTTAAAATCAAGCTAAGTCAAACCTAATTGTCATTCTCACTGCACAGATTAATGGTTTTTAATCACATTTTATGAAACAATATGTTAACAGATTTTTCTTTTTGAATTAAGTTTTTTATTTTTAAATGTATATAAGTATTAAATACATGAATAGTGTGGCTTCTGGGTATTAATTTTGATACTGAATAATAATAAAATTGACAATTTTGATCATCTTACATTAATTGTACTCACATCTTTCTAATATTATACACAACAAATTAGATCCCTCAAAGGTAATTGAGGATGAAATATGTCAATATTTTGTTAAATTATATCTCCAAAATTTAGAATCTTTCAATCTATGAAGAACTTTGGTTATATCAGGCCTGGACTATTACAAAATTTGAGTATATACTCATGGAAGAATGTCCGTATTCCTGGTTTGAAATGATAGCTTAATTAAATTTGTCAACTCTCAAACTTTGAATTAGGTTTGTATCTATGGAAAAGCAACACAGGACAATATGATATTGTATGGCCTAGAATCATTTTGTTGTTTATAAAAATTGAATCATAACTACAAAAAGAATTGGAGAAAGGCATATATTCTTAGGTTGATAGTTATGTATCTACACATATATATGCCTTTATCTTTAAATGTATGTGGGTGTGCATGTATGAATATATAGAGATAAGTTTGGATTTCATTATTTTTCAGTGTGGTGTACAATTTTATATTTTGTTCGTTTAAGTAGTTTAACATAGTATTTTCATTTTTTTCATTTTGTTTTATAATGGATATCTACAATTTATTATAAAATATATTTCATCAGATTTAAGCTTTCAATAACCCAAGGCAACATGATTTCTATGGAAATCATAAAATGTAGACAAATTTATTTAATGGAAGATTATACTAACTTTCCCTGAGTTATCACAAAATGATAAAAGCAGGTTTGTATTCTTATTACCAGTTCATATTAATTAATTCATTTTTATGCAGTAATTTGTCTCTTGGGTTTATAGATCTCTTTTCTGTGGCCTCTAGATAGCTTAATAAAAGCATAATAAGGAATGGACCAATTTAAAAGAAGTACAACCTCAGAAAATAGGTGTACTGCTCTTTAGCTAATTGAGGTTCTCCCAATAATCCTGTGGAAGAACAGTCTAAATGTTAACAGGGTAAGCCCTGATCTTTCTGGATAAACTTTTCCAGAATGGGAAGAATACAAAGAGAAAAATTTCCTCCTGGCTCCCATTCCCTTGATCTCTGGGATGGAACTCCAGAGCTCCCTTCTACCTAAGCATGTATTACACAGCAAATTCCATCTGGAGTAATGTGGTAATAATGGCCAAGGAGTCCAAATGAGCTTTAAAGAAAATAAAAAGTATCATGAATTACACATCATAACTCTATTCACCACCAGGGAAATTCCTATAGCACAGATCTTGCTCCCCTAACCAGTTCACACCAGTTAACCCACGGGTAGCTTTTAAGGGAAATTTAATTAAATCAAGAAGTACAGCTAGAATACTTTGATTCTTGAAATCTTCTGCACCAGCAGTATTTCCATCTTGCTGGAATTCAGTTTCAGTCTCTGCAAAATAATACCTGTGATTTCCAGCTGTTACAGGGAATTCCAAAAGATATGATAGTTGACAGCATCCAAAGCTGCTGAAAGATCTAATAAGACCAGGAGACATATACCATGGTCATTCAGATCATGCTGAAAGTCATTCATAAAATTGATTCATGCAGCTTTTACCCCATGTCCAGGCATAAATTCAGATTGGACAGTCTGTTTCATCCAGACCCCCCTGTACTTGTTGCCCCATCTTCTCTACAGTTTTCCATAAAAAAAAGGAAGCATTGGCATAATAACAATTATTTAATGTATTTGAGTCAAGTGATGGCTTGTCAAAAAGAGGGCACATTATTGCCTCTTTCAAGCCTGGCAGCATCACCATAGAGAAAATTGTAATACATTTTCAAGAGGTTACCTCTGTTATTTCATGAGATAAAACTCTCGAGTAATTCTGAATGGTTATGAGTGGGTTTTTTTTTTTACTACAAGCTATCTAGAGAACCACTCTTATCAAAATTTCCTTCCTTCCTTCCTTCCTTCCTTCCTTCCTTCCTTCCTTCCTTCCTTCCTTCCTTCCTTCCTTCTTCAATTTTTAAAGCTACCACCTCACCTCAGTGACTCAGGGTGGCAAGAGAAGCTAAGGGGTCAAAGGAGGGGAATGGAACCAAATATCCAATGCAATCTTCTGCAATAGCTGTCCTAGTGTCATATCTCGCTCCACCCATCACTACTTTAATCTTTTCCTAATCTCCCACCAGACCTCTTTAACTCCTATCCTCCACCCCAAATAAAGGTCATCTGTGATTTTGTATTCTCAACACTTTGTTAATGCAACCTTGAATGACCATCCTGTTATCTGGTTCTTGTAGACCCAAGGACAGTCTCTAACCTTCATCTCAAGAACCTTTTCTTAACTTCTATGCAAAGTCTAAAGCACTTGTGACACACTTGTAGTCTAGAACCTACTCTGTGTGTGTGTGTCTCTGTCTCTCTCTGTCTCTCTCTGTCTCTCTGTCTCTGTGTCTCTCTGTGTGTCTCTGTGTTTCTGTCTCTCTCTCTGTCTCTGTCTCTCTGTCTCTGTCTCTCTCTCTCTCTCAATATCCCTAAGAACCAGATAGCTGAAAAGATAGTATTGAACTGGCAAAAAGTAGGTCAGATATAATAATGGACATCTCTTCCATCTTATTTGGATCTTGGAAAGATGTTTTATCTAGAAATAATGAGGCAGGGGACAAGAAGTATCAAAGAACTTGACAAAGAAAGTACTATTGGGAGGGGGGGAATCCTAGAAAAAAAGCAACTGCAATGAAAACAGTGTGACAAGATGCCCATTTCCCGCTACATGCCTGCAACAGGCCACTTGGTCTCAATCACAAGATACTAAGTGGCAAAGCATTACAAGTTTTACATATGTTGAAGCTATGGTGGGAAAGAGTCAACTTGATGGGAGAAAATGGAAAGTTGAGAATTTTAAATTATAGAATAGGGCAAGATGAGAACAAAGATTGAAGTTGTTTAGATATGGTAGGTAAATGCTCAATGATAGATCTAAATAGTACGGTGCTACTTTAATGGTATACAAAGCATCTAACCATAATTAGTAAAAGTTGAATACTGAAAATAAACTTTTCCAGGATTCTGACTCACATTATTTGCAGTCCCCAGCCCTACCATCAGAGTTGATATGAATAGAATTGACTCCTCTTCAGAAAGCAGACTTGGAGAGAATAAAACTGTTACAATATACTGTTAAGTGAGGAACACTGATAAATTTGTGTTTTCTATGGGGTTGATTTTTATTTAAACCTAGAACATTAACTCTCCCCTCAACCTGGTATTTTTCAGGTGGTTAGAATAATGCATAACCATATGCATATGCATCATAACCATAAATAATGCATAACCATATGCATCATAACCATAAATATAATTATCCTGCTAAATAATATAGCTATAGCCATCACTCTTCACACTGCTCTGACTCATCTAGAACAGTGGGAGGGCTATGTAAGGATGCTTTTTGTGGATTTTAGTTCTGCGTTTAACACAATTCTTCCACATAGAGTAGTGTCTAAACTTCTGGACCTTGGGCTTTTGAATTCAATCTGCCTTTGGATTATGGATTTCCTGTCTGGCCGCTCACAGAGGGTCAGATTAGGTAATCGTACCTCTTCAGCCCTTATTCTTAACACTGGTACACCACAGGGTTGCATGTTGAGTCCCTTACTCTATACTCTTTATGTGCATGACTGCATTCCCTCTCACGTTAGTAATACTATTGCTAAATTTGCAGATGATACAACAGTGGTGGGACTTATCTCCGGGGGGGATGAGTCTGCCTACCGAGATCAGGTGGACCGGTTGCTTTCGTGGTATGGAGACAACAACTTGGTCCTCAACACCAATAAGACCAAGGAGCTTATAGTGGGTTATAGAAAGAACAGACCAGACATCCAGCCCTTCCTTATCAATGGAGACTGAGTGGAGCAAGTGGCCAGTTTTAAGTTTCTGGGTGTTACCCTAAAAGAGGGCCTGGCCTGCGGTGCCCACATTGCAGCCCTGGTCAAAAGGGCCCAGCAGAGATTATACTACCTGAGGCTTCTCAGAAAACAACAACTGAATGAGAAACTGCTGGTGACCTTCTACCGCTGCACCATAGAGAGCATTTTAACATACTGCACTTCTGTATGGTTTGCCAATTGCACAGTGGCAGATAGGAAAGCACTCCAGAGGGTTAATGTCATTGCCCAGAAGATCATTGGTTGCCCTCTCCCCTCTTTGGAAGAGCTTTATAGCTCCCGCTGCCTTAAGAAAACTCAAAACATTCTCAAAGATCCATCTTATCCTGGGAACCCTTTTTTTGAACTATTACCACCTGGCAGACGGTACAGAATAATAAAAACAAGGACAAATAGGCTGAAAAACAGCTTTATCCCAGGGCAGTAGCTCTGTATAGTGCAGTGTTGGTGTGGTGTCGGGGGTTTCCGGTTCAATGTATGAAGGGTAAAGGATGTGTGGTTATGTTTATTTTCATGGTTATGGTCATGATGTGCACTGAAGATGGTGTTTGATTTCGTTGTACGAGGTGCAATGACAATAAAGTAAACCAAACTAAAATAATAATAATAAATAGAATAGTCCTGCTTCATAAGATGCCAATGTCAATAATATCTACATTGCCATCCTGGCTATTCCAGTAATTAAGTTGAAGTCTTATCCCAGAGAAAAAGAAAGCTGCTGCAGTTGAATACAAGTAAGGCAAAGTTGCTGTTTGTCCATCAAATCCTTCTTTCAGCTTTAGTATTATTTCTTGAAAGGGTAGCACTGTCTCTGATGGGGTAGGTCAATGGACTTATGGTCTTCCTAGACTTACTGTATGACTACTGTTGGATAAGTAGATGAAGGCAATAGGAAATGAAAAGATCTGCAACATGGGACTGACTGTTAAGACTACTCATATACTGGAGGTGATTCAAAATATAGCATCCTGTGCTAAATTGCCTTGAACGTGTCATATTGCTGCAATAGACCCATAAATTGTCTATCAGTAGATTTCTACTTAATCAAACTTAGTGGAATTGAACCTGATAGTTTAAACTTGTAATGCCCTATATGTCTTGGTGCTATTATCTCAGAATTACTACATCTAGAGTAGGGTGTCCTGTGGGCTGGATGCGTCACGTGCAGGCCACACCTACCTTGGCTCCGCAAAGGCAAAAAAACATTGTGATATGTCTTGACACATCATGTGACATGATCAAGTTTAACACCCGTGATCTAGAGTCAATCTGTCCAATGCACCATTTTGTGAAATATTACTCCTTATTCCACACCATAGAGAAATCGAAGAGGAGGCTAGAGGAGTTGTTTTGTTATGACTCCCAACCTGTCCCAATTTTGTTCATCTTCCAGAAGCAAATTAAAAGTAAACTATTCCAGGGGACTTAGACAATGCTCTGGGAATGCCATACATTCATTTGATTTTGAAGTTCTAGTTTGCTGATTTTGTACATTACCGAAAGTTGTAATGATTGCAGTAGAATGAATGAATGAATGAATGAATGAATGAATGAAAAAGTCTAATTCACAAACATGATAGAAGTTGAAATCCAACCCACCCAGAAGGTACCAAGTTGGGGAAGGGTCAAAGATGTCACCTATCTTATTCTTGTCTCAAAGAAAGTGGCTGAGAGAAGAAACTAAACTGAAGGAATAAGCAGAGGGATTGCTCATGTATTAAAAAAAAAAACAGTGTTTCGTTGATTAAAGTCCAATATAAAAAAATATTGGAATGTCATATTATTTTCCATTTCCATCAAAATACAAACTCTGCAAATATAGGGTTTTAAATAAAGACCATGTAATGACTAATTTACACTGTCTACTTTACTTCAATTAGCCCAACATTTATTTGTAGAGAAATAGAGCTAGAGAAAGCATCAACATTGTTAATACCTTTGGGATATTTCCTTTAATGTCTAAGTTCAGAAAATAAAAGACCTTAAAATGTGGCAAGAACAACTTTTTTCTGTGTTTAAGAAGATATAGGCCAACACATGTATCTGGGAAAGAGACAGCTGAAATGCTTTGAAATTTGGTAGTAAATTGGCAGTTTTACATTAGGGACTGCTGCAATTGCTATTGTTATGATTTATATCCCCAGTTATAAACTTTTTTGTATAGAAAAAATATTCCTTTTATTTTTAAATAAAAAGTCTCAAGATGATTTGATATGAAAAATAAAGCAATTGTAATCATTGATTAAAAAAAATAATAATGCCATGCATCAACAAAATAAAGCACTAGAAATAAAAAAGATGCACCAAGTTAAAAAGGTCCAGGAAATTTTAAAAAATCATCAGCTCTTTGGACTGCTATGAGCATTGCCGGTATAGTGAACCCTTTGTTTCTGTTCTTTCAGAAAAAGAGTGATTGCATACAAATGAGGCATTCTGGATTAGTGACAAGACTCCAATATCACGTCCCTTTTAGAGTGAAACTGGGATAGATGATCATTTTCCTTTAAATCTGGCTTTATCAGGTGTTGAGCTGGGAAAACTGAAAACAAAGTTGCTTTACATAAATATTACAAATGTAACATCTGAATGCTTTCAGAAGATACTATCAGTGAAAAGGCACAGTTATAAAACTGACTGGATGACACAAATGTAAAAAGTATTTGAACTGCCACTTAAGCCCAAGCAATTTGTTTCTTAATGACCACAAGTACACCAAATGAAACGAAAAAGAAAGAAAAAAAGGTTGGGATCACAGGTTTCCTTCCTGTAATAGTCATATGGAAATAGAACCATGTTACCTCCTGATGGCCATATCTTATATGTTCACATACAAATTGATTTTACAGGGTTCAGATTTGCAGGTAGTCTAAGACTGCATTCATACAACAAAGTTAATTTAATTTGAATATTTTTTAGATTCACACAGTGCAGTAAACAATAAAGTAACCAAACAGACTGAGTTTGTACAACATGGTAAACAACTAAAAAATTAACCCACACAATTTGGCTGGGTTCACACAATGACAACCTTAATGAGCCACAGTGGCACAGTGGTTAGAGTACAGTACTGCAGGCTACTTCTGCTGACTGCCGGCTGCCTGCAATTAATTTGGCAGTTGGAATCTCACCAGGCTCAAGGTTGACTCAGCCTTCCATCCTTCCAAGGTGGGTAAAATGAGGACCCAGATTGTTGGGGGGCAATATGCTGACTCTGTAAAGCGCTTAGAGAGGGCCGTGAAGCTTTAATCTAAGTACTATTGCCAGAGTATTGCTTAATGAATTTATGAACCTCAAGGTAGAGATTTATAGATTGAAGTCAGCTTTTATTAAATATTCTGTGAGGTCTGAATTACTTTGCTATTCAAGATGCAATTCTACAAATAAAATATTAATTCAAATGTGTGGGTGTGCTTTAATACTGCTATATATGGTTCTGAAATCAAGAGGATTAATTTGATTCTGGATAGATTGCTATATGTTAAAGATGAATGAGTTCCTTTTAACTCTCCCCAATGTCAGAAATCTAGCAAAAACTGTGAAACTATCATCTGGCCTAACAGAAATTATGACAAAGCATCAAAAGGAGAAATCCACCCCAATATGCAAGAATAGATTATTGCGATGTGTTCTTTGTCAATATTTGAATTAGGCTATTTAATTCAACTTCATTGCTAATTTTGAGATTCTGTCATATTGCCATAGTGATGTGCATATATTACTTTGATAATAAAAAATTTAAATGCAAAGCCAAAAGCAAACAACATTAAGATTCAGCCTTTCCTTAATATGTGACTTCTGATATGTGACATGTGAAGGGAAGAATGTTGAAATTGATATTACTTCTCAGGAAGAAACATTATTTTTATTGTCTTTACTTATATCCTGCCATTGTTATTTTTATAAATCTCAAAGTGGTGAACATACCTAATACTACTTCTTTCTTCTATTTTCTCCACAACAACCCTGTGAGGTGAGTTGGGCTGAGAGAGAGTGACTGGCCCAAAATCACCCAGCCAGCATTCTTGCCAAGGTGATTTCTAGCCTAGTTGTTTCACTACTGCATGATGAATGCCTTTGCAATCTCTCCAAGAAATGTATTTATTAAATACATTTTAAAATAATTATTAAATATTAACAGTGGACGCCTCCAGATGTATTTGGCTACCAATACCTCCTCATGAAGCATAAGTATCCTAACTGAAGTCAGTGGGGAATGTAATTCCTCATTTTTGGAGGGCAACAGGTGGAAGAGCTGGCAACTTAAAAAGGATTGTGTTCATTTGCACTCGTGAAAGTTTTGCTCTACTTCCCCATTACTTAAAGAGTGCAGAGAATTCGGACTCCACGCCATTCATCGAGATCGAAAATAAAGGTTGGGAGAGGAGAGACCGTTTGTTTCCTTCTTCTTTACTTTCTACCTTCACTTTGAGGGTAATCCTATCCACGTTTATTCAGACTCCTTAGCCTCGTTGATGCCTTTATACAGGACCGCAGCCCTAACCCCCACCCCATCACTTACACGCCAGCACCAGCAATAACCAGGCAGCGCATCAAAGGGCTGGGGCATGGCCAAAAACCAGCCTGGAACTCATTCCACCCTAGAGCAGCATCGCGTCTTTTCAAAGGGAGCGGCTTTAATAAGTAAGAAGTAAGAGAGGAGGAGGAGGAAGAAGAAGAGGAAGAGGAGGAGGAGGAAGAAGAAGAAGAAGAAGAAGAAGAAGAAGAAGAAGAAGAAGAAGAAATAATTGTCGCCGACGACCCACAGAGAGGTCAAAGCCACCTCGAAGGAGACTGGCCAGGAAAGGGTCAAGGGAACCCAATGGGGCGCAAAAGCGGAGAGTCACTGCGCGGCAAGCAACACTGAGTAACTAGCCGGCCGATCAAAACTACGCCGGCTAGTCCGCACTAAGCGCACGCCGTCCTGCCGGCTTTGGGATGGGTTTCCTGGTTTCCCCGCTGCTCTCCGCCAACGCGCAAACAGCCGCGCCGCGCCCTTCGCTTTTCCAACCGCGCCGCAGGCTGCATCTGACCGGGATTTCCTCTTCGGGGAAAGTGCGTGGAAGCTGGGCGAAGGCTCCGCGCCGCGTTGCTCTTGCTTGCCGGTTCCCGCCCCTTTCCTTCGCCTCCCTCTCCCTGGCGAAGTTGGCCTCCCTCAGCCGCTCCGGTCCTGGGAAGGACAGGGACTCTCTTGGCTGGAGCCGTCATGTGACGCGATTGGGCTGCCTGGATCGGCGCCGCACCATGAGAGACCTGGGGGCTGGGCAGCGCGCGAGCAGGCGCCAGGTAGCGCCCCGGGGGCTGCTGTTCCCTCGCCTCTTCTGCCTGCTCCTGCTTTGGACCAAAGAGAGCGCCGCGCTGGCTGACTTCTCAGGTAAAGGCACGCGACCCTTGGCCGACGTCGCCCCCCTTTTCTCTGTCAGCCCCCCGCAAGACAAGGCGGCAGGGAACCGCTGGGCGCCGGCAAGTGCCGGGCAGGGATGTCCAGGAGCCCCGTTGGTTTAGAAGGGGATTTTTGAGCGCTTTTGGGGGATTGAGCCGCCTACTTTCTCTGTCTCGATAAGTCCAATAAGGATGAGATCGGGAAAGAAAGCTTTACTTGACAAGTTTCTACCCACTCTGCAACTTTTAAATGGTCGACGGCGGCCTTCGCTGACATAACCAGACGAGTACTTGCCGATCACCCATAGACAGCGCAGGCCTTCTAGTTGGGAGGGATGGTAGTTACGATCTAACATCTCTAGCAGAGAGAGAGCATCAGGGTTAGGTTGGAAACCTGCGGAGTATGGGAAAATTAAATAACAACTTAAACACTAGTATGTTGAGACTCAAACGACAAAGATGTGTATTTGTTTCATTAGCGGCTTATCCAGGTTCTCTTTCCTGGATTTTGTTATGCTTTTTAGCCAAGCAATCGCTTCTCTTAGGATATTGACAGTACCTTCCTATTTACTAAAGGCTTCTAGATAAATGAAAACTAAACTCATTTTAAAAGTGGCAGCTAAGGTGTTCTATGTCAAAGTATGTGGCAAGATCTAAGGATGAGCCCACTATATTACCAAACTGATATGCCATAAATGCCTCTTTGAAATTGCTTCCTAGTTAATTTTCACAGCTGAGCCCTTCTCCATTCTGATTGTATCCAGACCTTCCACTAGAGACTGTTGAATAATTATTAACAGCTCTGTTCAGCCAGGAGTCAGGACATACTGTACAGGTCCTGGGTGCTTTGAAAGAAGCATGGGACAGGAGCAAGGAATCTGGTGCAGAAATATGTATAATAGCTATGCAGAAATCATTTGTTAGGTGCCTATGTGTGCTTGTGAGATTTACTCATGCTGGAGATATGGTGGAGAGGAAGGAAAACTCAATCCAGAAGGCATGTTTAGAAACATTCATTCTTAAGTATTCTAGAAAAAAATAATTTGCACATGGTAATTAATTCATTCTCCATTCTTTTTTTACATCACAATCAGGATAGCTAAAAGGCTTTCTAAAAGTTTAAAAGCACAACTTTAATATTTTCCAAAGAAAATTATTTCAATATCCGTTCATAGGTAGTAAGAATTCTACTGTAGATAATATTAAAGATTTAATCAAAAACATAGAAAAAGTTATAGTTATACATTAATTTAAAATCAAAAAAGCCAATAGGCTTTTTAAAAGAACAATTATATGTTCCAGGAAACACTATCAATGTTCAGAGATTCTGCGAATTGCAATCCAAAAATCTGAAGGGCAGCTGATTGTCTATAAAAGTTTACCCATTAAGATAGCAAATTGTCTAGCATAAACATTTGAAATGTATGATACAGTTATTATAGCAAGATGATTACCAAATATTATGTTTGAGTGATATTTAAGAGTGCTACAGATTGGTAAGAAAATGTTTGATAAATAGCTACACTAAAATAATCAGTCTGCAAATCTGTCCAAAATATATACTGACAGAATAAGTCAAAACCCCAAAACACACTCAGAAAATAATTAGGAAGCTATCATTGCTGAGACATGTTGATAGACGCTCAGGGATTCTGGAGAAAACTTAAGCACATTAAGTATACAAAAAAGTAAATCTATGTGCTATGACAACATAAAATAAACATGAGTCAACAAGAAATCACATATTTCCTCACCCACACATGCAAGTGATATAAGGGATAGTATAATTGAATGGAAAAAGTACTGCACTTTTAATCATTCAATAGCCATTGTTTTTGGAACTGGGAAAGTTATATAGCTTAGGTGCTTAAAAGGGCACAAGAACATTTACTAGAAATTCCTATATTGCACAAACACAACGAATAAAACATAAAAGGAACTGTAAAAAGCTTGGTGCTTAATTTAGCTAAAATCCCTGCAATTGTTATTTTTTATTATATGAGAAATAATGGTTAAAAAAAACCTAAGGAAGAATTGCTTGCATGTTATTAGTTAATAACATGTTTATTATTCCCTGAAAGATACAAGTATAAAACATGGTACTTCACAGAAGTAAAAGACATACACCCGTTCTAGTATGTGTGAAGAGACTTACAGGAACAGAGCAGGAAATTGTCTCTTGACCATGAGACTGCAACCCAACATGAGATATAGTGCATCTTAAAAGCTCATCTTGAATGCATGTAGAGTTTAACTGTTCTGAAATTAACTATTTTTTTAGTGGGGAGGGATGAAACCAAATCCTAATCAGTTCATTTTGTGTATTTTTAAAGCTGAATTTTTAAACTTTTAAACACATGTATTTTAATGTATGATTATTTGCAATCTGGTTCTTCAGTCTCTTGCAGGATAATGGTAATGTGCAAACAGCTACAAGGGCTCTATATGTATTGAACCCAATGAAATAAACCCAGTTCTTAGCTACAAATAGTGCTTGAGTTACAGCAATAATGGAGCCTGCCCATTATGGTCATAAGTTGTAATGGACATAAAACAAGATGGTAATGAACCTAATTTTAAGAAGTGTTTTTATGGCGAATGCCGTAGTCATTATGTGAATCCATAGTTTGCTATAGTATGGTTCTGCCAAAACACTGAAGTACCAGTTTTCAGCAAAACCAGTGCGATCACATGACCATAGGATACTGCAAATGACTGTAATCTCGCCATGTTGCTAAACGCCCAAACCTCAGAATTTCTGATCCGGGTAGTAAGTCCCCTTTTCAGGTAGGTTGTAACTTTGAACAATTGCTAAGCAAGCAGCTGTAAATTGAGGACTGCCTGTATAAAGTTTTCAATTTATTCATGAGCTTTCAGTCTACATCAGTTTAAATGCTAGTCTTATATGATCTGGTTTATGGAGTAGAATCAGGGGACTGTTTCTTGCAACTGGATGCTATGGGCGCTAAATAGGACACAAACATTTGTACAGTTCATGCAAGCTAATGAGCATCTGATTCCTCATATTTTCCTAAGTATCTGGATTTCCAGTTGATTTGATCTGTGGTTTGTTTGACTGAGTGATTGTCATCATTAACTAATGTCTGAATATTGTAGAAATAGTATGTGATGATCCAAGGCATGGCCTGATGGTGCTTTATTGGACTATTTTTGTTCTATATTAACATACTCCAAAAGCTGAAATCTGATTGGTCCACACGGACCGCATCCCGATTGGTCTACTGAACGGCCGTGATTGGCTTCCTAAGAATCAACCGCGATTGGCCAAGCCGATCGCGGGAGATTCAAAGTCCTGCCATTGGCCGACGAGCCGCGAACAATCCCTATATGAAGGGCTGCCGCGGCTCCAAGATCTTGTACAGATCTTAACATAAAATAAAGAGCTTGAAGTACACTGGTCTCGCGTCTCTTTTGTAACCGATCTAACAATTTTGATATCTGCTATTAAACTTTGGGAGAGCGTTTTTTGTTCACACTTCACTACAGTTTGGGGATGGGATGACAAAGCTTCTCTAGCAGGCTGGCTGGAGAATTCTGGTAGTACACACATCTTGAAGCTGCCAGGTTTGAAAAACACTGTCACACAGACATATTTTCCATTTCTGATCTTCTTATAGCAAAATAAAAGCTAACATTATTCTTCTAGCAAAATAACAGCTAACTTTATTTCCCACGGTAAATAGCCAGAGAAGACCTATCTGTAGATTTCCGCAGCTCCTAGAAAAGGAATTATAGTTTTGTTGGGGTGCTCGTAAAATCAGGTACATCTGAATGGCATTGATGTTACAAATAGCATGTGTAGATACTGAGCTTCAGGCAACCATTGGGAAAGCAACGAACGTTAGCAGAAACAAGTCCAATTCAAGCCGTAAATTTTTAATAAATTTTGATTTTCTTCCTTCAACTGTGGTTTCTATTTTTGCTTTTATGATATTTATTATGTTGGCTTTTTATATTTGCTGGTTTTATATCTTCATTTTTTTATCTATTGTTGTGCACCACCCAGAGTTGTCTTAGGTGAGATAGAAGCTATTATTTATTTATTATATATTAATTTATTAATTTTATTAAATAAATAAATAAAGTCTTCTATGGAAGCTAGAGTGGGTAGAACTGATGGATTGTATGTAATTATTTCTTCTAGCTTTTTTCTGTGCAAGATGTTTTGAGATCTCTGTTGATTTCAGTGAGAATATCTAGCAATCCCAATTAGCCATAGCAATAGCACGTAGACTTATATACTGCTTCATCGTGCATTACAGCCCTCTCTAAGCGGTTTACAGAGTCAGCATGTTGCCCTCAACAATCTGGGCCTTTAATTAATAATTAGCCATTATTGATTATTTTATTTTATTTTAGAAAATTTATATTGCTGCCTACTTGCACATGGCAATTCAGGATGGCTTACACAGATAAAAAAAAACCATATAAAAGAAATAAAAAGAATAAAAAGAAAAATAATCAAATAGTAAAATAATAAACTCCCACCCACCCCCACCCTGATGACAACACACATTCATACAAACCATTTAATGGGCTCCATCCGCTCTGGGTTTCCAGGTCCTCTGACAGAACCAGGTCTTCAGCACCTTCCAAAAGAGTGTTAGAGTGGGGGCCAGTCTAATATCAGGGGGAATGATATTCCAGAGAGAAGGAGCCACCATGGAGAAGGCCCTTCTTCTGGGTCCCAACCCCTCTAAGGGATGGAACCCACAACATTCCTTGCCTTTCTCTCTAGCGGCTTGGGTAGATGTGACCGGCAAGAGACGGTCCCTCAGATGACCTCGTCTCAAGCCGTGAAGGGCTTTAAAGGTGACAACAAGCACCTTGAATTGCACTCAGCAACAAATTGACAACCAATGCAGTTCCCGCAGAAGAGGTGAAACGTGCACATCAAAATCTACACAAAACCATGCGGGCCGCTGCATTTTGCACCAATTGAAGCTTCTGGATACTCTTCAGGAGTAGCCC